TTTTTTTCATGAATCAGTAAGTCTGGGATGTGGAGAAAATAAATATATCTTGCCCTTGCATATGTCCTGAGCTCTTGGAGCTGGACTCCAAAAAACCTAAAGGTGATAACAGTGTGGCTCCCAGGAGGTGAAGACTTGTTAGAAAAGAATTTCAACCACACTCTGCATGTAGCCAAACCAAGAGCTAGAGCAGCTCCCCTGGGCTCAGGACACCAAGCAGTGTGGACAAAAACACCAGCCCACTGAGGTTACCTACCCATGAAGCTGAAAAGCTTGTAGAAAGTGGTTGGGATTAGACCAGCCAAAGTGAGGGACCTCTCGATGAGAAACTGATCTGGATTCAAAGAGACCCTCCCCATCACACAGGATATATAAATGAATTGTGCCAGATCATGTTATGGTTGCTAATGATCTGCTACCCCTCTGTATTCCCCACTCACTGATGTCAGGGTTGGCCACATGACTTGCTTTGGCCAATAACACGTGAGTGCAATTCATTTGCCTCCTTTTTGCGGACAGATCCATCATCTGGTTCTGGCATCTTTTTTTTCCTTTGCACAGGACTAGCAGGTCCCAGATTGGGGCTGTTCCTTATCTTTGGGTGCCAGAATGTAGATGATGTGGAGTGGATACATGTCCATCCTATGAAGGACACATCATGGAGCTAGAAATAAATGCAAGTTGTTAGAAAACCCTGAGTTTGGGGTCATTAGTTACCATAATGTAACCTAGCCAGAGTTGACTAATAGTCTTTTAGAAGTGGAAAGACAATATAGTAAGATTAAAGTGAATTTTGTGAAAGAAAGGCCATCCATAATTTATTTCTGAGCCTTGGTTAAATCGTTTTACTTTTTATAGATGCTAACGTGCTAACATCGCCCTTTATGCCTGATGTTGCCTTCCCCAAGCTCCTTCACCAGCAGGAGCCTGGCGGTGGAGGAGGACCAAACTCCCCTGCTAGAGAAGGCCAAGAAAGGGCTGGTCTGTGGAGCCAAAGCCCAGCACTGGGCTGTCTGTTGCCAGTCAGTGAAGTGAAACCAAACAAAGCATTTCCTCGCCATCACTTGACTTGTGGAAAGAGCAAGGCCAGGCTGTTTCCTCTTCTGCAATCTATCCTGCCTATTGACTACCCTGCCAAGGCAAGACTAAATATCAGCTCTGTTCTATAATCTTCCATTTCCTGACATCTCAGTCTTACCACAGATGGTGAACTTGCATGTGGCAAGGTACAACTTCTGGGAAGTGAGCACTGAATAATGCAGGCATTGCCTCTGCGCTCCTGGAGCATACAGTCTAGGGGAGTCTGACAGAATAAATGCATTGATTATACATTAAATACTTACAAAGTGAGGCCCACTCACACCACAAACCAGACGTTGTAATAGATTTAGGGCAAAGGCAGCAGGAAAGAATCTATTTAAAGTGAATCAGGAATTCCATTTAGATGTTCATAACCAGACTTAGAAATGAGTGGAATTGGATAAAATAGAAATCATTAGAGTGTGTCGTGTGTGACATATCAATATTGTTTTAGAAAACTACCATTTCTGCTGCTTATATGTATTATCTGTTTATGTTGCAACCTGGTTCATTATGTATAATGTCGTGGTTACAGTGGATAGTGGCAAAAATAAGTCTGAAAAAACTTGCTGAAGACGCAAATAACCTCAGGGAAGTCTACTCTGAAGAGGACAGTACATGATTATCAGTGAACTGGCTGACTCGATATTTTATTTTTATTAACTGGTGAAATGTAATGCTCATGTCTGTACTTTTTTTTTGAGACAGTCTCACCCTGGATAGAGTGTCTTGGCATCATAGCTAACAGCAACCTCCAACTCTTGGGCTCAAGGGATCCTCCTGCCTCAGTTTTTCTATTTTTAGTAGAGATGGGGTCTCATGTTTGCTCAGTCTGGTCTCAAACTCATGAACTCAGGCAATCCACCCACCTCAGCCTCCCAGAGTGCTAGGATTATAGGCGTGAGGCACCGCCTGGCCTAATTTTACTATTTTGAGTAAAAAATAAAATCTTACGCTGTAGATATTAATAGTGTTAAGTCATTAGCAAGCCTCTTCAGAACTTGCCGGCAGTAATAAGATGCACTTCCTATATTTCAGAAACAATCCTTTTCTTTTCTAGAGCAGTCACCTTTGCCGTCAATCTTACCCCATTCACAAGCTGCTCTCATGTAGCTAGGAAGCCGGTATTAAAAATAGACACAAAGATTAGCACACATCGTTTAGATTTAATTCCCATGTTTCCTGCTTATTCTCAGATATTTAATAAAGTCACCATCAGTAGTACCTTATTAACCTCTGTTGTTTAAGAATCACAGGTGGCCCCACAACTTGTAAGCCACTGAACACATTGATTTTGGCATATTTACTTGGTTTTACTCAGGTGGATCTGTTGCAAAAACCAAACAGCAAGTAAAGAATCCTATACTTCCCAGAAAAGCCTTCCAGTTTGAGCTTGAAATGGTTTTGAAAACAAATCAAAACGAATTTGTTTACTAAGTACATGGCCTGGCACTTTCTTTACCAGATTTAAGACCCTTGGGACATTTTTTATCGACACTTTTTGTAACACATCTAAAATGTTCTCAACTTGCTTGGGGGAAGGTCTAAAGTTAGAAACATGCTTTTTTTTCAATAGAAAAGTCAGAGTCTGCGTGCATATTTTTCAGTGTTTATAGCTACAAGGCTATGTGGGTATATTCAGGACGCTGGCAACAGTGGTGTCACCACAATGGAGCAACGAGGTAGGTGTAGTTCCTTTTCACTGTATTCCTGTGGAAAATACCACTGGTTAGCCGTCAGTACCCCTTCTAGTCCATTTTTTCTTTTGCTTTCTTTTCTCTAGACCTAAACAGTTAAAAAAAACTTAGCTTCCAATATTCCTTTGTGGCCAGGGGTGGCCATGAGATGTTGGCAGAACTTACATTTAGCCCTTTGCCCACTGGTCTTGCCTCTTCCTTCAGCCTGGAGGAACACAGTACCTGGAGGTCCAGCAGCCTTGGGGACAAAATCCACACCCTACATGTGGAGTGGAAGAAAACTGGTCCCTTAAGTTGCTTGTAAGTCTTACACTACTGCTCAAATCCTAGTTATGTGAGAAAAATAACTCTCCTGAGAGTTGAATTCTTTGCTGATCAGAAGAGATGCAAAGCTGAAAGTAATCATTCATTTAATTTCTTAAGTTTTTTAGGAGTTCAAGAGACTCTTATTTGGCTTTCTTACTATCTAAATCTCTGTATTCTTGTCTTTTTCTTGACAAAGTAGTATAAGGTAATATACAGTGGTGGAAAAATGTGGCTTCTGCAATATTCTTATGTAAACAACTCAGAGTATGGTTACTGCCTGGGCCAGGAGCCAACTGAGTTGGTGACATGCCAGGAGTCCCTGCAGCCACCTGGACCTCTCTGTCAGAAAAGTTACCTTTGTCTTATTTTACAACTGTTGGACACCAGAGGTAAAACAAGTGCCCTACAGTTCGAACTCTGGTTGAAAGAGATCTGGAGACTTCAACTTATCAGACAGTTTCCAATTCATTCAACATGGTGTAACATTAATCTATCAGCACCTGAAATCCTCTGATTTGCTGACAGCTCTCATGTCCTGACATTCCCCAGGGAGCTTTGATTGATCATTTTGGGCTCTTTGCTATAATGCCCCCTAGTGGTTTTCAGTGGCAAATCCGGCAAAATTAATGTATCTGGCATTCTTAGTTGCAAATAGAACTCACTCCAGTAAGAATTTGCAAAAAAAGGATATATTAAGGGTACAGTACTATCAGCTCCACTTCTATGCCAAAGTGCAAATAAAAAGTCATCCATTGTTGTGTGGGCTTCCAACTTGCTCTCACAAAATGGGACTGTTTGAAGACTTCTGGCCTTCTGCCTATATCCATTCCTCAAAACACCTCTCTTCTATTTGTTAAAGTGGATTTTCTTTCTTTCTTTCTTTTTTTTTTTTTTAGATACACAAAAGCTTTATTTCCATTTGGTCCAAGGCTTGGGAGAAGATTGCAAGGTGTTTAAAAAGCTGCCTTGTGGCTGGAGGAAGAGGCTCTGGCAGAAGCCCTTGGTAGTTTGAAAAGGGCTCCTCAGAGGTCACTGGTCTCCGTAGGCTTTTAGTCGTGCTTGAGAGTGAGCCTTTCGAAGAGATACTCGCCCAGCCCAGCCTGGGGTCCGGCCAGCCTGTGGAGGTTGGTCAGGTGGTCGCCCATCTTCTTGAGAAGTTTCACTTCCTCATCTAGGAAGTGACTCTCCAGGAAGTCACAGAGATGAGGGTCTGTGCGGGCAGAACCCGGGGCAGGAAGATCCAAAAGAGCCTGGTTCAGGCTCTTCTCCAGGGCCAAGGCAGCTTCCATTGCATCCAGGGTTGAACCCCATTCATCTTGAGATGGCTTCTGCACGTCCAGGGAGAGAGCGCGGCTGCCATGCTGGGTTTGCATCTTCAAGAGACACTCAGAGCCCTCGCGCTTCTCCTCCACCAACTCGCGGAAGAAGTGGCCCACGCCTTTCAGAGCCACATCGTCGCGGTCGAAATAGTAGCCCAGAGAGAGGTAGGTGCAGGAGGCCCGCAGATGCAAATCAACCAGGCGGTTGACAGCTGCCTCCACATCGCTGGAATAGTTTTGATGAATCTGGGAGCTCATGGTTGATCGATAATAAGGAACTAACCACAAAAAAAAGCTGGCTCCAGAAGCAGGAGATGGCAGTGAAGATGGTCCCAGAGATTGCAAGTAGAAAAGAATGAGACTGGAAAATTGCCGCAGGCTGGAAGAAAGGTAGTCCCTGGGTCTGTTTGGTTCAAACACTGTTGAAGCAAGACACAGATCCAAGGGACCACATCATGTGCTACCTAAAGTGGATTTTCAATCGTTACAAGTATGTGTGGCCTATGAATGTGAATGGTGTCCCTCTGAAGTTGTGCAGTGTACAACCTGCACCACTCATATATAGCCCTGGATATTAAGTGGTTTACATACAGTAATTTCTGGAAATGTGTAAGAGTCAAGCTTGGAAGTCACACCATCATGAACCACTCACAAATTATACTGCAGGCTTGCTCAAGGGAAGTCTTAGAGACTCCTGCTAGGCATAGACACCGCATCTGTTTGACAAAGTCTGAGCCACTTAAGTACAGCTTAGCTACAATAGATGCTAAGAGGCAAGAGCTTGGATTCTTCTATCTAGGGAGGTCCTGATTCATAAAGTTGACAGTCCCCAAATTTAGTAAGGGTGTTTGTGATTGCTAACTTTAATTCATTGACTTGACGGGGCTCAAGGATGCCCATATAGCTGGTAAAACATTATTTATAAATGTGTCTGTGAGAGTGCTTTAGGAAGACATTATCATTACTCCAAAGACTGAGTAAAGCAGATTGTTCTCTCCAGTGTGGGCAGGTGTCATCCAATCTGTTGATGAGTCTGAATAGAGAAAAAGACAGGAAGGGTGAATGTGCTCTCTGCTTGAGCTGGGCCATCCATCTTCTCCTGTTGGATACTGGCATTCCTAATGGGCCTTAGGATTCAGACTGGGATACAGTATTGGCTTCCCTTGTTCTCAGGCCTTCAGGCTTAGGCAGGGTTACACCACTGACTTTCCCAGGCTTCCTCCACCTTGTAGACAGCAGATAGATTGTGGGATTTCTCAGCCTCCATAATTACTAGAGTCAATCCCTCATAATAACTCTCCCCCTGCTACCCCTACTGTGTGTATGTTATATAGATATAGATGTGTATCTCTTATTGGTTCTGTCTCTCTCAAGAGTTCTAAAAGCATTGGGGGGCGCCTAATGCAGCTACACACAAACCCTTTTTCCCCATCTCCCCCTCCCCCTCTCCTCCTAAGACAAAGACACAAAGGATTTGGTTAGTCCCACCCCCAGAAGTTCACCCCAAAAGACCGTAACTTTCTGGGCAAACTGTGGAATTTGCCCACTCACTATGGCCCCATATGAAAGGGTCCTCTTACTGCCCCTGGGAGCAGATGCCATTTTTGCACTGTCTAGGTGGGTCACCCTCCCCTTTTCAATGAACCTGGTCTGAACATTTCCCCTGCATCCTCGTCTCTGGGCGCCACTGCTTACACCTTTCAAATAGAGTGTTGAGCTGGGTGTGGTGGCTCATGCCTGTAATCCTAGCACTCTGGGAGGCTGAGGTGGGTGGATTGCCCTGAGCTCAGAGATTCGAGATCAGCCTGAGTGAGAGTGAGACCCTGTCTCTAAAAAAACAAACAAGCAAACAAACAACAACAGCAACAACAAAAACAACAATGGGCATTGTGGCTGGAGCCTGTAGTCCCAGCTACTTGGGAGGCCTAGGCAAGAGACTCGCTTAAGCCCAAGAGTTGGAGGTTGCTGTGAGCTGTGACACCACGGCACTCTACCAAGGGCCACAAAGTGAGACTCTGTCTCAATAAAACAAACAAACAAACAAACAAATAACAACAGAAAAAACAAATAGAGGGTTGAAAGGCTTTGGGGGATCATCCAAAAATCAAGACAAAGGACGAATGTCCCCCAGAGCTTGTAAATACTGTGTTTAGCGATCCCTCTCTCCTTGGCATCGCTTCTTTCAAACTTTGTAGTGTCCTCTTCCCATGATCATAAACATCGAGTTTCTTCTAAGATCTTTCTAAGTTGGTGAATTCTCACTGGGAGTTGAGACATTTTTCTCAATATTACTATCACTGCTCTGCCACTGATACATTAAATGGGAGCTCACCATTCCCACCTGTCCCCAGCTCCTGTCGGCTGCCATTCTTTCTGTTTCTACGAATTTGACTACTCCAGATTCCCTTAAACGGAATCAAATAGTATTTGTCACTTTATGACTAGCTCATTTCACATAACAAAACATCTTCAAGGTTCATCCATGTTGCAGCGTGACTTTTTTTTTTTTGAGACAGAGTCTCACTATGTCGACCTTGGTAGAGTGCCAGGGTGTCACAGCTCACAGCAACCTCCAACTCTGGGGCTTAAGGGACTCTCAAGCTTCCCAAGTAGCTCGGACTACAGGTGTCTGCCACAAGGCCCGGGCCAGGTTGGAACCCTCCAACCTGTGTATGTGGCTGGCACCCTAGCTGCTGAGTGACAGACCCTGAGCCTGTAGTATGTTAAGACTGAATAATATTCCACTGTATGTAGATATCACATTATCCTTGTCCATACAAAGGGGGATACTTGGGTTGCTTCTAGCTCTTGGCTATTGTGTGTAATGCTGCTATGAACATGGTGTACTAATACTGAGAAGCGATTTTTTACGTTACTCCGTGTAGGATGGATTGTAGAGGAGAAATGGTGAAACAGAAGACCAGCTAGGATCTGTTGGAACATGACCATTGTCATATTTGAAGGCCCACTTCAAATGCCATTTGGTTTTATTAGCCTTCCTGGTTTTGGCAAGCAGAGTCGGTCTCTTTCCTAAATCCACCCTGTTCACTGAGACAGCATTTATGCGCATTTAGGCGCTAGTGAGTTCCCTGAGGGGTCCCTTGGGCAGCTACAGCCCTGCACACCCCCCCACCACTCCTCCAGAGAGGAAGTGGCCACAGGGAGGGCCTTTTGAAGCCTCTGTGCGTACAGGCTGCTCCTTAGCTAACTGGGGGTCTCTGGGGAAATGTATGTTTGCCTTTCTATTCCCAGTCACATAAGTAATACACCTTTATGGATGTTTGGAGGGAGGATGAAAGCGTTTCTATTCATGCCCTTAGAATCCATGGGGGCATTTTCCGCTTTTTTTCCCCCCCTCCAACCAAGAACTGGGGAAAGGAATGTAAGTAAAGAGTGAGCGAGGTTCTATCCTGCCCGGAGGCCACATGCGGGCAAACCCGGAGCCGAGAAGACTGCGGAGCCCGGGGACTCCTCCGCGGGGGTTGGGCGCAGCCCCGCCGGAGTTAGGGTAAAGTGAGAATGCGGCAGGGCATGGCCTTGGGTAGGTGCTCCTTGACTCGGGTTTCACAGGGAGGACAGAGCGGCACCCAGCTGAGCCCACTGACCGCGGCCGGCTCGGGGCTCAGGGCAGGGGCGAGCGGTGACCACCGAGCCGCTGGCCGCCTCTCCCAGACATTCCGCTCTGCCACTGGAATGCGCGGACAAGGCTCCTTGTTGGCCTCGGGCGGGGGTCCCAGGGCGGGTGTTGGCCTGGCGCTGGAGGCCCCGGGGCGGGGCAGGGCGGGGCCCAGGGGCGCGGGACCTTAAAATCCGCGGGCCGGGTGCGCACCCCAGACCCCCGACGCCTGCCACACGGACAGACCCTCTGAGACCATGCCGCGCCCGGCCCCCGCGCGCCACCTCCCTGGACTCTTCCTGCTGATCTGGCCGCTGCTGCTGCTGCTGCCTCTCGCTGCCCCCGGACCCTTGACCCTCCCGAGCTTCCGGAGATTGGGGCACCGCGGCCACAGGGGCAGCCCTGGACGCCGTCCGGCTCTCGCAGCTCCCCACCGCGCGCCCCATTCCGAGGCCGGCGTGCCTGGCGGCACCCGCAACGCAGGTATAGTCGCGCGGGCCGGAACAGCCCCGACTGGAGAGAGATGGGGCCGGGCAGCCCGGCGTGAGACTTAAGGGAGAGCAGGGGTTGGGTTGGGGCAGAGAAAGCGGGCATCGAAGAAGGAAAAGCTCCGGCACTTGCCAAGCGTTCGCTGCATCTCGGTCTCGGACAGCTCGTGGTGCAGGCGAGAGGATCCCCTCCGGGATGAATCTTGCAGAGCAACTGAGGTCCGGAGAAGGGAGGGGAGATACCCAGGGTCACTCCTACGTCCAGGCTAGATATTTGGGTCTCCTGAAGCTCACACTCCAGCAACCCCGTGCGATGCGCACAGCCAGCTGGGGAACGCTAGGGCTGCCTCCCTGCGCTGTCCCAGTCCTGATCTCTCGGTCAGCGGAGCAGGCCCTTCTGAGATTCTTTCAGTTCTCTTGAATCTCTCTGTCTCCATCCAGGATCAGCGCGTGATCCTTCTTCCCCTCCCTATATCCCTCAAGCTGCCTCAGTGGAGGCCAGGATCTGGCCTGGGATTCAGATTAGAAGGTAAGAGGTGGGGGCGTGAAACTAGGAAGAAAATCAGAGGACCAGACCTGTAACCATCCTGGTCTCAACGCTGTCCTCCTGCTCCTGACCAGATGTTCTGGGGAACTGATTGGGCAAGACCCAAGACACCTCTGTTTCCCTTTTGGGTCAGTAATTGGTTTCTGAAGCAGCGCCAAGCTCCCAGAAGCAAAGCTGGCATATCATCTGATGCTACCCCTGGAGGCACATACAGGGCAAATGAAGCTTCTCAAAGTGAAGGGACCCAGCAAACCAGTGTCAGAGCCCCGAGTAAAACTGAGGTCTCTGAATCCCAAGCAAGGGCTCTTTCCACTGCAAGCTCTTAATACAGCTTACACAAGATTTTATCTTTATTACCAAAAAGTCCAGCTTCAGTCTTGCTAAAGAAAGGTTGTACTTGCTCAAACTATTTTCTGGGTGTCTAGTCTCATCTGGCCAGTGATGCTGCATGCCTTGAGTTTCCCCTCTACTGCACCTTTCTAGATATGTTGGGAAGGAGCCCAGGGGATACTTTCCTGCATCAGCCTCAGAATAGCAAAAGCACCGCTGAGGCAGAAGGTACCAGGGTTCACAAGGTTAGATTCAGTTGGTAGCCAGCTGGCTGCTCCAGGCCAGGAATGGACAGGAAGTCAGCCTTACCTCTAGTGCTGACCCACCTGTTTGGGAATGGGGCTGGGAGAGAAGGTGGGATTCTGCACCAACCACACTCGTCTTTTATTACCCAGAATCCAATCCTGATTGGGAATGATACATAGTAATCCCTTAATAAATGCCACATCTACCCTTTTCCTGATTCCCCTCCCATTTGTTTAGCAACCAGAAATTGCTAAGCTGTGCTATGAGCTTTTATCTCTAGCAGGACTACAGGAAATTGGCAATATGGTAAGTATAGGAACATTTTAGGAGATTCAAATTCTCACTTTCTTTGTTCTTGAGAATCAAAGTGCTACCTAATAAATGAGAGGGAGATTTAATACTAACAAAGAGTTGGATACAGTGGTAGTCCCAGCTACTACTGGGACTTGAGTGCAGCTTGAGGCAGGAGGATCATAAGCCCGGGAGTTTGAGTCCAGCCTGGGTAACATAGTGAGACTCTGTCTCTAAAAATAAATAATTAAAAATAATTAACGATCATTGCTGAGGGTGTACAAATCGGGGAGGGACCAGAGATTCACAGCATTTTCTGCTACTCTGGTGAAGCTTCAGGTATTAGTTTTCTATTCCTGCTGTAAGAAATTACCATGGATTTAGGGGCTTAGAACAACATATAAATAATAATATTTATTATCTTAGCGTTCTGTAGGTAAGAAGTCTGAATGGGTCTCAGTGGCCAAGATTAAGGTGTCAGCAGGGTGCATTCTTTTCACGATGCTCTAGCAGAAAATCCATTTCTGTGGAGGCTGCCACGTTCTTTAGCGCGGCTTTTCACACCTCCCTTGCTCCTTCTTACACTTTTGGGAGCCTTTGCTTTTCCACTGGACTCACTGAATAATCCAGGATAACCACCTCATAGCAAGGTCTTTAATTACAACTGCAAAGTCTCCCCTGCCATGTAAAATAATGTATTCCTGAGTAAGACCAGGGCACTCTTTGAGGGGGGTCATTATTCTGTCTACCACACCCCCTTCACACTCTCGGTTCTGTGTGCAGAATCCAGGGGAGAAGGCAGGAGCCATGCTTAGTTATAAGAAGATAGCTGTGATATTTATAAGGACACCATGTGGATATTAATGAAAGCACGGTCAATTACAGGGTTCATATCATTATGTTTTTTTCCTTTTAGTCCAATCATGCAAAAATTCCCTCACCCATTTCCAAGAAGGATTTTCAATACAGTTCTTTTTCCTTTCTCCGGATCCACAGGAATCTCGAGGGATAAAGTGAAACTCAGCAGTTTTTTAAATAAAAGAAAGGTTTTTTTTTTTTTGTTTTTGGCTGGGGCTAGGTTTGAACTCACCACCTCCGGCATATGGGGCCAGCACCCTACTCCTTTGAGCCACAGGCTCTGTCCTATAAAAGAAAGTTTTAATTGCTTTTGACTTAACTAAATACATGACATATGGTATACTTCAGGGTAGTGCCTCAAAGTCAACAAGTAGGATGTTTACTGGGTTCATGAGATAATGTTTATTTTTGTGGTGGAATAGATTGCTTCAGAGAGGTAACTGGGGTGCATAGAAGCCCCCTGGGGGCCTGGGGGTCAGGAAACCTAGAGTGCAATCCATGCTCTACGCCTTTCTAGTTCTCACACCTCTTTGAACCTCAGGCTTCTCTCCTGTAATATGGGCATCAAACAACCTCTGCACCCCTGACTTCACAGGGTTGATGTGCTGGTAACCCTGTGGTCCTAAATTTTTGCTGAAAGGAAGATATTGCTTATTTTCTTTCTTCTTCTTTTTTTTTTTTTTGGCCGGAGCTGGGTTTGAACCTGCCACCTCCGGCATATGGGGCCAGTGCCCTATCTCTTTGAGCCACAGGTACCACCCTGCTTATTTTCTTAATTGAATATCTCCAAGCTGTGGGCCGAAACTTAGGAGACAATTTTCAGCTTTTAAAAGAAAACTATACAGAGGCTGCTATTCCAGATACAGCTTTTTCTCCATAAACTGCTTAGCCTAGGAATTCTTTTCGCATCTACTTTATTTTCCCTACTCACTGAGTAAATCCTTCTTGGTGTAGCGTCAACTTCTAACCCTTGATCAGGAAAGGAAACAGCTCTGAGTGACACTTTGTGTCCTGGGTGTCATTTTCATTTAGGGGCTGTATGTGCACAGCATATGCGTGCATGTGGGCGTGTATGTATGTGTTGGGTGAGAAGGGGGAATAGCTTGAAAAAGAAGTTTAATAACCAGCTTCTTTCTTCTCTAGTCCTGACTTGTGGATTTGATTGTTGCCGGGAGAGGGTGTACAACAGGGTTAGGGAAACAGGAAAGAATAGGTGAAAATTAGACCTTATTGTGTTACTACAGTGTGCCAGGCACTTTTGTGTAGAAAATAAATAAGTTTCTTTAGGGTGGGGAATCTGGCTTATTTGCTTTTTTGTAGCTCCAGGGCTGAGGGGCCAGGGCCTTTTACACTATTCAGGGACACTTTATCCTGTTGTCTAGGGTAGTCAATGTGCCTAAGAAAGACCTGGGATTAGGAGGAACCTTGGGAGCAAAACCATAAGCAGAGGGATGAGGTTCTAAGTGAAATTTCAGGGCTAAGCCAGCCTAGAGGAGAGGTATGTCACACCTCTATGTGAATTCTCACTGGGGAATTCTGAAGGCCTTGGTGCTTTCAACACCAGAAGGGAGGATGGTCTTGGAGGAAGCCACAGGTGTCTGTGGGTGTCGGGGTTAGAGGATGCTGCCTGGCCTCCTAGAATCCAGAGTTCTCTGGGAGTGAGGGTTGTCCCATTTTTAGTTGTGGTCTGATTGTTGCTTGGTCTTTTCTGCTCTCCATGCCCTTCTTTGCAGGTATTTGCAAGAGCAGGCCCTTGGACTTGGTCTTCATCATTGATAGTTCTCGGAGCGTACGGCCCCTGGAATTCACCAAGGTGAAAACCTTTGTCTCCCAGATAATTGATACTCTGGACATCGGCTCGGCAGACACACGGGTGGCAGTGGTGAACTATGCTAGCACTGTGAAGATTGAGTTCCATCTCCAGAACTATTCAGATAAGCAGTCCCTGAAGCAGGCTGTGGCACGAATCACACCCTTGTCAACAGGCACCATGTCCGGGCTGGCCATCCAGACAGCAATGGATGAAGCCTTCACTGTGGAGGCCGGAGCACGAGGGCCCACCTCCAACATCCCTAAGGTGGCCATCATTGTGACTGATGGGAGGCCCCAGGACCAGGTGAATGAGGTGGCGGCTCGGGCCCGGGCGTCTGGCATTGAGCTCTATGCTGTGGGTGTGGACCGTGCAGATATGGAATCCCTCAAGATGATCGCCAGTGACCCTCTGGATGAGCACGTCTTCTATGTGGAGACCTATGGGGTCATTGAGAAACTTTCCTCTAGATTCCAGGAAACCTTTTGTGGTAAGTTGGTAAATCTTTGCTTTTAACTAGGAAGGATGTTATGTTCAGACATTGCATACCCAAAGAAAAAGACATGTCTTCTTTTTTTGTTTTTTGTGGAAATTTTATGGAAAACTTAAAATATATGCAATGCCATTTTTGGTGTTTTTCTAAACCAACTTAAACACACTCTGTTGGTTTAGGAATATAGAGCTGCACTATGTATAACTTGGTTTGCTCATAAAACCTTCATGTTTGCATTAGGGATGTGAAAGTCTGCAAATATCCAGGATAAATGATCCTGCTGTTTCCTGATGGGGTCAGAAAAAACAAAACAAAACTCAAGACACCTCTCTTGTCCCCTCTGCCCTACCACTACGTATTTTCTTTAGCTTTACCATCTCTAGGTTTAACAGGACTCTGCTTGTTCTGCAGAAGACAGGGAGTGGCGTCTGCCCAAAGATCAACAGGCAGTCCAATGTAACTGTCAGCCTGAGTGGGCCTTCGGTGAATACTCTCCTTTTCAGGTTCGGCTGTCTCTGATTATTCTTTGTTGAAGAACTGAATTAGGGACCAGGAAGATTAGGGCTTCAGCTGCCTTGAGAGACAGCAAGAAGCAGATGAAAGAAAAAATGGTTCTCTTACTCTCCTATTTCTTTCTTCCTTTAAGATGGAGTTTGAATGTCAACGTGCTCATTTCATTGGAATTTTCAGCATGTGATAGCTAAGTCTATGGATACACATTTCAATGCTGAAGTTTATTTTTAGTTACTGATCAGTTGTGATTTGTGGGACTATGCTTCATTTTTTATCATTCCAGATAATCTTTTTTTAAACTTTTGAGACAGAGTCTTACTATGTATCACAGCTCATAGCAACCTCAAACTCTTGGGCTCAAGAGATCCTCTTGCCTGAGCCTACAGAGCAGGCAGGTCTATAGGTGCTTGCCATAATGCCTGACTGTTTTTAGTGAGTTGGGGTCTCACTCTTGCTCAGGCTAGTCTCAAACGTCTGAGCTCAAGCAATGCACAGGCCTTGGGTTCCCAGAGTGCTAGGATTACAGGCATGAGCTACTGTGCCTAACCTTTTTTTTTTGAGACAAGATCTCATTATGTTGCCCACCCTGGAGTGCAGTGGTATGATTATAGTTCTCTATAGCCTCGAACTTCTGGGCTCAAGTGATCTTCAGTCTCCTGAGTGGCTGGGACTATAGGTGTTCACCACCATCCCTGGCTAACTTTCTATTTTTTGTAGAGACAGGGCATCACTATTGCCTAGGCTGATCTCACGGCACTCCTTCTACCTGGGCCTCCCAGATTGTTAGGATTATAAATGTGAGCCATCATGCCTGGCCTGGAGATAATATTTTGAAGTCCTCTGTGGAATTATCCAAGCAGATACAGCCAAATTTCCAGTTCAGGTGATTGTTAACATAGATAGCTTTTGGTATATGTAATTTATTCCACATTTATTTATTCATCATGATGTGAAGATAAAGGTAGTCCCTCCTACCATGAAGTAACGTTTTTGGGTTCAGAGTGAGAAAAACAAGTGAGCCATAATTACAACTGTAAATTTCAAGGATACTTTAAATCTAAATTAATGTGAAACCCAGAAATCATCAGTTTGTCAGGAAAAGGGAGATAAAGTCTTTGTCTAGGGCAAATGTTGGCCTTATTTCAGCCAGACCTGGCTGGGATCCCGTTGTTTTTCCTGTCCCAGGACAGTGTACCTTCTCAAGCCATCACTGGCTTTGGTGGCATCTACTTGGCAGTCATTGATTTCCAAAAAGAAAGAAGCTTTCTTTCTCCCAGGAAACCCCCTCCCCATACATGCTTGTGGGTGAAAGTTTTTCCATCAAGGTGCTGGTCTGTGGCGAAGTTGGGTTTCAAAGTGAGCACCTGGGGTTGGGCTCGAAGGCCATAAAGTAACAAGTGGTGAGTGGTGATCTTTTCCTCCTGGTACAAAAGACCTGCTTGTTCTGGGGGAAAAATGTCCTCTCTATGGAAAAAAAGACTGAGGGGCAGCTTGTTGTAGTCAACAGTTTGGAAAGATCACTCCATGAAAAGGCCATTCTTGGGAAAATATTAGCTTTGTCCTGTTGCCAAGAGCAATGGAGGCTGAGTTACCTGACACAGGAGTGCCAGCCTCCTCCAGCAGCCCTCCCTGGATTCTCAGAAATGACCACATTTATTGATTCATCTTTAAAAACATGTCACTAGGGGAAAAAATCCAATGAGATAAATGGCTCCAGGAGAGCAAAATGGTGGAGATAGAGTTTAGCTAATGTAATCTCATTTCTGTTATTCATTCCTTTTTTTTTTTTTTAACCTCTTTGTATACGTGTATGAGTCCATTTTCCTATGTTAGAGGCCCCAGAGTTGCAGACATGTATATGTGTGGGTCAAGAACCCATGTTACATATTCAGAAGGCAGTTACCTGAATTGCCCTCAGAGGCATTTGCATGTTCAAATGTTTATCACCGCCCAAGTGAGTGAGTTCCAGGCCTGGAGGCATGCCGGTGTGGGAATTCTGCTTAGACACAAACTGTAAGAAGCCTTTGGAACCAGATTCTGGCTGCAGTGGGTCACCTAGCTCATAGCACATCAGCCAGGACATTATCGTTCTTCCCATTTCTTGTGATGGGGAAGCAAAAATCTTTTCATGGGCAGGTGGATAAGCCAAATAAAATATCAAGTTGCCTGACCCATGTAAGTGTTTGGCTTCAGCTACAAATTCCAAATTCTCTTTCTCCTTTGAGAAGCTCTACAGCAAGATCTATAATATTATTATTATTTTTTTTGAGACAACGTCTCACTATGTCACCCTCAGTACAGTGCCGTGGCATCACAGCACACAGCAACCTCAAACTCTTGGGCTTAAGCGATTCTCTTGCCTCAGCCTCCCACGTAGCTGGGACTACAGGTGCCCACTACAACATCTGGCTATTTTTTGTTGCAGTTGTCATTGTTTAGCGGGTCCGGGCCAGGTTTGAACCCTCCACCCTCGGTGCATGTGGCTGGTGCTATAACAACTGTGCTACAGGTGCTGAGCCAAGATCTGTAATTTTAAATTAGTAATATTTCTAGTTTAAGAGTGATATTTCTACTAAGCCAGAAGTGAAAACAAAGAGCCAGTTCTTACAGTGAAGTAGTCATAGAATCAGAGGGGAACCCGGAGAGTGATGTCTTTTCGACACGGAGCAAGTATCTGCAATGTTTCGTACACATTGGTACTAACTGCTGTGAACGTCCTCTGTACAGCTGTGGACCCATGTGTGCTTGGCACACACCAGTGCCAGCATGTCTGTATCAGTGATGGCGACGGCAAACACCACTGTGAGTGCAGCCAAGGATATACCTTGAACGCGGACAAGAAAACATGTTCAGGTGAGGCTGCTTGGGGGCCATGGTGGATTCAGTTATTTGGGGACCTATGCTATAGGGTATGGACTGGTCTTATACTTTGACTCTTAGATCCTTTTCCACCTAATTACATTTTGGCTGGCTTACTGATGTCCATCAATAATGTTACAAAAAAATAACCTACGAAGAAAAGTGAGATGATAGACAAATCAGCTGATTACAGTACTTAGTCCACGATTCTTGGTCCTTTTGAGGATTTACATTTTTCCCCTGGATATTATTTAAATACAAACTATCCCCTTCCTTTCTATGATCATAGATGCTCATGGAATCTAGAAG